GACCTCTGTGGGCACCAGACATACATGTGGTACATACACATACATGTAGGCAAAACACACAAACACATAAAATAAAATGAACCTAAAAAACCTTTTTAAGGAAATGAATAAATGGGAAACTAGGTGCAATGGCTCACCCATGCACTGGTCCAGCTACTTCAGAGGGTGAGGCAGGAGGATGGCAAGTTTGAGACAAGCCCAAGACAGATAGCAAGATCCTGCAAAAGAGAGAGAGAACAAATGTGCAAAAAGGGGAAAGAAAAGGAGAAAAGGTAGAGAAAAGGAGGAAAGAGGAATACAGAAAAGAAAAAAGAGAGGCAGGCAAAGAAAAAAGAAAGGAAAGAGGGAAGGAAAGGAGAGGAAGGGAGAAAGGTGCTTTTATATCTATGTACAAAGCTTTGGGAATGTTCCACACTCTCCAGGAAGTAAAATCCCAGAACAGAGCAACGCTGGCCAAATGAACTGCAATCACATCATTCTAAGTGTAAAATAACAATCTTGAGGTTTAAAATAAGTGGATATTTATTCAGGAACTATGTGCAATAAGGTAGCAGGCACTATTCTAGATACCATAGATACATATTATTATATATTATATATTATAATATATATTATATTATATATTAGGGAACAGCAGTCCTATTCCAATGAAGTTTACATACTTAAAACCCAAAATGTTGATGTCTGTGTCAGACCAAGTGCTATTTAAAACTCATTTCATAAAGACCTATAACAAACCCCAACCATGTAAACAAATGCCCAAAGCCAGAAAGTAAAACATGAGAGATAAGATTTTGTTTACAGTGTCAATTATCAAAAATATGCTTTGAAGATGATTCTAGAGGCTGCTGAGCGTTTTCACACATGATCACGTGCCCAAGTGTAAGCTCAAACACACGTGCAAGCACACACGCCCCTTCACAACAGTTAAAAAAATAAAATTGCCCTGTAAGATTTAAACTATAAAACCAGTGCCCCCCCCCCCATGCACACACAGAGGCAGGCAAAGAAAAAAGAAAGGAAAGAGGGAAGGAAAGGAGAGGAAGGGAGAAAGGTGCTTTCACAACTTCTCTGTATCCTAATTGAGGATTTAAAAACCTCGAAAAATTCTAAGCAAATGTAAATTCAAGTAACAAAAGGACCTAAAAATCAAGACAGGATATACAAGAAATGAATTTGTGGTAAACCTAGTTAAAATACATGGTAGCATTAAAAAGACGAGATAATACTGTTAAACGCGGTCTTTCCACGATCTTTATTTATAATATAAACTAGATACAAAATTTCATAGTCTATGAAATTTGGGCTGAGGCCAAGGGAAGCAAAGAGGACTCCAATGTTCAAAGCTCTGCTGTCAGGCAATGGGCAAGGACACGCACAGAGGACTTCATCAGCTTGGACGGAAACAGTGGTTCAATTGTGATGGCAGGCTACCATTTCAGTATGTTAGAAATGTGCCAGCAGTGTGAGTCCCAATGCCTGCTGTGAGACTATTCTCCACACGTGCACTCTCCCAGTTAATTAACAAAAGAAAAAAAAAAAAAAAAAGAAAAACCTCAACCAAAGAGAATTCAGCCAGTCACCACAACATGGGCCACAGAGGCACAGCACAGACCCCACAAAATAAACACAGAGGGTGGGGTGCGGTGGCTGGAGCCTGAAATCCCAGCACTGAGGAGGCCAGAGGCAGGAGAATGCAGGGTCCCAGTCAATCTGGGATATACCCCGAGACCTGTCTCAGGGTAAGAATGACCACCAGTCTAATGAGGACCAACACATCAAGAGCCTTCTAACATGAAATCCTCAAACCACCACCAACACCATTATTCTCCTCAATGTGAAAAACGGGTGGGTTTGGGGAATCATAATCTAATATTTAGCAAGTGACAAGAACTGACATCCAGTGGCCCAGGACTGTGGACTGTCTCTGGAACATCACTGCTTCAACAGCCTCTCAAGGGGCGAACTGACACACTGGTTCTTGGAAAGGGACTTTCCCCGCTCAAAAGAACCTGGCTGGGAGGCAATGGGACTCCCCCTAACGATTTCAAGGCAATGTGTCTTCTAGTAGGCCCTGCCTACCTTGTGGCCTCCTTGGGGGCTGGAGGTGGATCACAACCTGGCTCTTGGTGGGGCCTTTGGCAGCTCCAGGTCATGGTATAGGTTTTATCTCTCATTCTGAGCAAACTGGATTATACTTACTTTAGGTTATGATTCTTGGGGTTTGTTATATTATTCTCTTTTCAATTATTGAAACAGGGCTGTAGCCAGGGCTGACCTCAAACTTAAATCTGGGATCTTTCTGCCCCAGCCTCCTGAGTAAATACTCACACATGCTAAAGTCCCTGGCTCTACGGCATTACTGTGAAGTCCTTACTGTTGCACTACAGAAGCAAGACGGTATTTAAGTAAGTAAAAGGAGTAATTTCTGCCTGCAGCTTATATTTGACAGCGGCAGAACTTCACCCAAATCGACAATGATCACCTTAGGTTAGCCTTTTGGGAGGCTACCGAGAGATACCAACAGACTGATAGTTCGTGCATGAATCACACACATGCAGAATGTACACAATCTGGGAACAGGTGTTGCCCCAGTCTGACTATTTCTGAATAGTCATTTGGAAAGGTTAGGCCTGGTGACCAAGCCACGTCTACACATTACAGAGTGGATGTTCTGGAGCCCTCTAAGCTCAAGTTTGCTAAACTTTCTAACCACGACTGTCGTTAAACGCTGAAGAGGTAGACGATCTTTCCAAGCACAAGACATTCCCTACGAATCATGCCTACTCTCTCAGTGCACTCTGCTCTTCCATTAAAAAACTGGCCTCAGAGACCAGTCGTGGTGGCGTACTGCTGTAATCCCAACACTCCCGAGGCCAGGCAGGAGGAGAAGCAATTCACGAGTTCCAGGCCAGCCTGAGCTACGTGAGCCCTTCTCTCAAAAGCAATAATAATACCGAAGAGGAGGAGGAGGAGAAGGAGAAGGAAAAGAAAAGTTGGCCTGAAGGCATACCAATGGCTGAATAAAGCCGTTTGAGATTGAGCCTCTACCAAAAGACGGTGCTCTCCTTAGGCGGCTGCTGCTTTTTAAAAGATTTACTCATTTCTCTTTTATGTGTGCAAGACTTTTGCCTACATAGTGCATGTTTATACACTACGTCCACGCCTGGGGCCCAGAGCCATGCAAGCAGTTGTAAGCCAACCACATAGGTGCTGGGAATAGAACTCAGGTTTTCTCTGCAAGAGTAGTCACTGCTCTGAAAAACTGAGCCATGAATACTCCAGCCCCAGACTTGACTAAATGCAAATAGGAGGGCGGCTCCCAGCCTGTTTTGTTGCTGTTTGTTTCTCTCCACTAACTCCCCCTCTGTGCTCTTTTGTTCAGCACAGAGGGGGAGCGCCCTCCTCCAGTTCTCCCTGGACAGCCTTCCCTCTGTCCTGGCTTCCATCCACCCAGCCGGACTGAGAATCCCAATCCTTCTGCCTGGATCTTCTGCCTGGATCTCCTGCCTGGCCCTCCATATCCACCTCTCTGTTCATAATCTTCAGTTCACACCAAGTGGTACCAACGGGCACCTCAAACCTAGTATTTCATTCCCACACTGAAACCAGCTCTTTCATATTTCCTCTCTTAATTACAGTCCCCACAGTCCACTGATAACCTGAGTACCAGCCCTGACTCCTGCCTACTTCCTCCCCAGCCATTGTTCGGTTGGCCCTAAATATCTCCAGCTTCCACCCCATTCTATCAGCAAATGCAGATGGCTACTCTCAGCACCTGAACTACTTTTTAATCACTCTCAAGAGGACTCAGGCAAAAGCACACCTGGGTTTAAAAAGCCTACCTTATCTTTAGACTATCAAGGTCCATCTAAATCATTTCGAGACAATAAAACACCTTTGTTACTTTTATGGGAACAGTGATTTGCAGCCTGGTAGGACCCCTCCCCCTAGCACTGAGGTCACAGCTCAAATATCATTTTCCATAAGGAGCTTTACCTCTGCTGTCCCTTTTCTTTTAACAGATCTTACAAAAGAGTTTGAATGTAGGACGATCTGGGGATAAGCGAGGACTCCACCACTGTCTACTCACTAGATTTCCCAGAGCTCAAGTCCCTGTGATTACTGTGATTGACCAGAGTCAATGCTTGTGGCTGTCCATGTTCATTAAGTCACAATCACCCCGAGAAGAGGTGCCGCTCCTAGACACACAGTTCCGACAGAGGAGCCAGGGCCCTGAGATATCAAATAGCTTGCCTCAGGCGATAGAACTAGTCGGCGAGGAAACCCAAACTCAAACACCAGGTATGTGACTCCAGAATCTTGAAGAGGCTTACAGAAAATAGAAAATAGTATGCCGAGTGACCAGTATGTTGGAACCCTCCCTGTGTTTAGCTGCCCAGGCCAGGGGTAAAAAGAAGAAACCCGGTCTTAAATGATTCGTGTTATATACTCCCAGCTGGGAATCCCACATAAATATTGTAGTTCATAAAAGTCGGGGACAGATAAGCTGTACTGTAGGAAACATCAGCGGATCACTTAGTTTTGAAACCCTCTAAGTGCCAACCATATACTGAGGTGCCTACCAGCGGTTTACCATAGCTTTGAGACCAGTGAGACCAAAATATGTGTTGCACGGATAAACAAACACACGCATGCATGCATGAGCATAGTAAACTGGTCAGAATGACCAGACTCTAGGACTTATTATAATAAGTGAGAACTCAAAACACAAGCATATTTGATTCTCCACAACCTTTATGGAAGGGAGGCCTAGGATACAAACACATTCAAAAACAGACACCTAAATTCCCTTAGGAGCAACCCCAGGGCATAATACTTTTGCTCGGATCTCTTCCTTCTTCATTAGAAGGAGAGCTTGCAGGCTCACCATCCTGCAGTCGTACTGGACATGCTTCCCTGTCAGGTAGGCTAGGATACACACACAGCCGCCAGGACGTGAGGCAGGACGACAAGCCAGAGAAATCTGCCGCGCTTACCTCCCTGAGCTCCAGGCGCTGGGCCACAGCTTCCAGGCTCTCCTGGCCAGTGCTCTCCACAGACAAAGTGAACTCCACGAACTCATTATTAAGCAGCTGGATCCGTGCAACCAGGCAGCTCTTGCTGGACACCGTGTAGCGCCGGGTACGTTTCAATTTCAGCCCAAACGGCAGTGGCATCTTCTCCCTTCAGCAGTGGAGGGGACCAGGAAGGACCAATCCAGCAGTGATGGCGCCAAGCAAAAGCGACCCTCCGGACAAAACCAGCTCTAGTATCCTGGGGCTCATCCAACAGCCGCTGCCGCCATTAAAAAGCAACTGAGTCTCCAAAGGCCAAGTGATGGGAGCATCCACGCCAGTGCTGAGGAAAGAGGAAAGTCGTTACTATGGACTTTGCTTTTAAAATAAAAATAGGTGGAACTGAGTACAAAGAATAAGTTTTGCCTCTCTGCTGGAGTAAGAAGGTTCTAACTCGAGCAGGGAGTTGGCGGGACAGTTTATCACGAGGGCTAAGGGTGGGGCCCAGGGTCAGACCCCACCCCTCATTCTGCTCACCACTTGTGATAGCAGCCCTGGCTGTTAGGATTAAATGAGATAATGCCCAGCACGTCTAAACTACCAAGCATTACCGGCCGTCTTGCTAGTTTGGAGGGAGGTTTGGATTTTTTCACAGGTAACTCTTGAGTTTCCCAATACTTTCGGGTGTCTTCGGTTCCCCACCTGTGTCCTTCAGCCAAATTAACCCTGAATTCTAAATGGGGAGAATAATCCCCTCCACCTAACATATGGCAACTGTGAGACTCAAAGAAGATGAAGTGCTTAACAAGCATTTCTAAAGCCCCTTCTGGTTCATTATTAACATCACCACAAAGATTTGTGTACAAACATGTTATTAACACCCTACTGATGCTCGTCCTTGAAGCATCGCAAATCTGAAAAGGGTGCTCTGGATTCCTCCACCCGAGCAGAGACTTCTAAGGAGCCTGTGGGCGCTCACCTACAGAAAAGGGCGAGGCCTTAACCATCATCCTGGGTAAAGAAGGCAGGCAGGGCTGAGCAAGCCCATAAAGCCTAGGGCAGCGGGGGGCCAGCAGCTCGCGGTCCTGGGAGTCCCCTCCCGAGTAGGAAAGCAAGCAGTGTTGCCTGGCCAACAGGGAATGTCGGGAGCCCCGGAACCCTCCGCCTGCGGCCGCATTTCCGGGCGGACGTGATCCGAAAGGACCAGCCCCCTGAGATCCGAGGAGGGAGGATTTAAAGGGGACATTAGTCAGACAGGCAGGGAGAGATTGGGCGCGCAGTTTGAGGCCGTATCCACGTAACAGCACCCCACAACACGCTAATTTTTAACCACGCTTGTTGATAGCAACTTCTGCGGTGAGATAAACTGGGGGCGAGCGACAAATCGGGACTTTTATGTCCACCAGAGTTATTTTCTCCTAAACAATTTGACAAAAATCTCAGCTATTTCCATCCCTCCGCACTGCTGTCACTCACCTCCGCCCCTTCCTACGAGGATAAGTCTTTTAGCCAGGCTGGGTCCTGGCTGATTAGCTATTTGGGTGCTAGACCTCGCGGTGAGACAATCTATCCCTAAGCTTTATCAGGCAAACAGAACCCAGGGCTCAACAGAAGCAGCTTTCTGAGTTTCTCGCTAATATGGACGTAGCTGGGCATCCCCTGGTTTTCTACATCACTCCCAGTATTCTTTTTCTGTCCTGCTCACCAGCCTGAGACTCAAACTCCACCGGTCATGAACATCCAGGTCTGTGGAATGGCTGAGCTAGAAAATGTGGTTTAGCTATGACCCTAGACTTTGCCAAACATAACGTCTTGGGATTCCATTCCACAAATGTGTATTGCCTCTCTGAGCACAGAGCAACATGATGAGCATGCTGTGGAAATCTAAGAGGAATCGTAAGCTGTCTCCGTCCTTAAGGAGACTGCAGGCATCTATAATTATATTCAGAGCTGTATCACTAATAAGGACATGATCAAGATTTCTAAAACTTATGTTTTGCTTTTTGGAGCTCTCTAGTTCGAGATGATCTCCCCGCCCCCTTTCCAGAAAGACAAAACACGTTTTAAAAACAAGGGGCCACGGAAGGCCAGAGGGAAGAAAAGTGTAACAAACAGCAGTATGTTAATACAGCTGAATGCCTTCCTTGAGTGAAAGCACTATTCCATAGAAGGAATTGGGATGGGGGAGGAGTACTATAATAAGGTAGAGTCTCTGTCTGCAGTATTTTCAATGTTCTTTGCTGTTTTCAGAGAATAAACAGATGAAGCAAAAATGAAAACACTTAAAAAAATTTTTAAACAAGATTTTAACCAGGAGACTAATAGTGCTTTTGTAAATTTAAATAACAACAACAACAAAAAAAGTGTAGTGTGCAAAGAATTGTCTCAGGAGAAAAAGTTGTAGATTTCAGCCTTGCAAATTGTGGCAACTGAAACATTAAAAAAGATAATGTTTCATTTGTTCAAAGGGAAGACATCTAAATTTGATATTGTCAAATATGTTAAGTTCTTCTTCACTATATAACTTAGATTTTATGTTTGTTTGTTTGTTTGGTTGGTTGGTTGTTTTTTTTGGGGGGGGTGTGGGGGCAGAGACAGGGTTTCTCTGTTTAGCCCTGGCTGTCTTGGACTCTGTTTGTAAACTATGCTGGCCTCGAACTCACAGAAATCCACATGCCTCTGCCTCTCCAGAGTGCTAGGATTACAGGCCTGGGTCACTCTGCCCAGCATAACTTAGTTATTAACTTCAGTTCTGATTAGGCAAACTCAAATTTCCAGTTGTCCCTGGGATTTGGAATGTTTTACATCATCGGAGATGAGGAAAGGCCAATGTTTTCTCTTTTTTATTTTGGTAGCTGTTATTATTTGATTGTTTTATTTCTGTGCATTTCCTCCTAAGAATGTCTGGTTTTTTTATTATCCATATAAAACCCACTGTGGCAAAAGTCCTGTTTAGTAACTTAAAAATTTATGATTGATCAATATATCTTAATAACGTCATAAATTATGTTTGAATAATAAAGCCAAGAACTAGAAATTTAAAGTACTTTGGGGAGAGCTGATTTAGGTGTCAACTTCTAAATGAAGTAAACTATAAACAGCCTTTAAAAGAAAAAACAGGATAATTTCCCTATAAAATCATTACATTATGGAATAAGAGAATATGCATTTTAAATCCTGTTTCACAAGCCGATCATGGTGGCGCATGCCTTTAATCCCAGCACTCAGGAGGCAGATCGATGTGAGTCTGAGTTTGTACAACAGCTTGGTCTGCACACTACACAGAGAAACTCTGTCTCGGAAAACCAAAAAATTAAAAAAAAAAAAAATCTGCTTCACAAGTTTACAAAAGTTGGTTTGCACTGTTAGTTCGTTTTCAGTTTTCTTGTCCATATCCCCTTCCAAAGGTCTCTCAAGTCCACTTTAACTCTGAATCTTACGGGACACCGCACCCCAAGCCGCTCACTATAAGTTCATGGAACTCTGCCACCATTCCCTAACATTAAATAATCACTAAAAAGAAAGTGTCCGACGTTTTAGACCGTCTACATCTAAGTGTCTTAAATCAATCCTATGTCTCTCACAGAACATTTGTGCATTGATAATCTATAATCAAATGGCCTACAAACCAAACAACTATTTTCAATGTGAAAATATTGTCTTGTTCAAAACTAAAAAGAAAGAAAAAGGGGGCGGGAGTCTGTCGGTAACTATTAGGCATACTGCAGTTGTCACTTGGAGATTCGGAACGTGTTTTCTAGCTTTCTCTATCATAAGGCTTCTCTCGGCGGCGGGGGTGGGGATAGGACAAGCATGCTCAGAGCGTCCAACCTAATCAGGGTTTGCAGAAATTACAAGTGGGAATTTGCAGATCCAAGAATTCTTCCTCCAAGAGTAAAGACGCTTTACTCCAAAACCGAAACAAGGAGTTGCTAAACAGTCCTCCCTTTATGCCCCTTGTCGCCAAAGTTCTCGGGCAACTTTCATACTCCACATACTCCGAGAGGCACAAATATGCCCAAGATTTCAAACCCTGATCCAGAATTAAGCCGCAGCCATCCGCGGAGGAGTCCGGAATAGAAGGTCCAGACCCTTTTTAGAAATGACTCTAGGAGATCAGAGCGAGGTTGGGAAGCGAAGACTCCGCTCTTTGTTACGCCCCTGCCCGGGTACCCCGCGCCTCACCTGCTCCGGCTCCCGCCGGGTCGGGGCCGCGCGCCCTCTCGGCGTCCCGCCTCCCCGGCTCCGAGCGGCCACCGCCGCCGCCCGCCCGCGCCCCGGGCCCGCGCGCCGCCCGCACACCTCGCCGCACCGGCCGGGCCGCGGCGGGACTCGCTGGGGAGCTCGGGGGCTGTGGCCGGAGCTGCGGGCCCGTGTCCCTCCCCCTGGGCCGGGCGCGCGGATCCGGGGAGGCGGCGGCGCGTGACCTCAGAGAGTTGGAATGCGGGCGGCGGGGCGCGGGGGAGGCCGGACAGCTGCGCCCGGCCGCCGGGGAGGGGGCGCGCCGCTGCTGTTTTTAACCGTGTGACCAGTTATTTTAAGTTTCCCAATAGAGCAGAGCCTTGAAATAAATAAATAAATAAATAAATAAATAAATAAATAAATAAATAAATAAATGAATAAATAAATAAATAAATAAATAAATAAATAAATAAATAAATAGATGGATAGATAGATAGATAGATAGATAGATAAATAAAAATAAATAAATGAATGAATGAATAAATAAATAAATGGATGAATGAATGAATGAATGAATAAAAATAAATAAATAAATAAGAGAAAGGGAGGGGGCGTTATTTTGAGCTCAGGTGGAAAGGGTTCTGTTGCAGTATTTCGTGGTGGTCTGTAAAGTTACTGGGGTTACTAGTGAGCTCTCGTGCGTGCGAGGCTGAAGGCAGTTCACACACCCCAGAATCCACTGGATAGGGAGCCGAGGGCATGCTGGAAATAAGAGCTGAAGAAACAAGGGTGATCAGGCAAGCCATTCTAGATCACCCCTACGGGTCTGATAGCTGAGCCTTACTTTGGGGAACCGGGGGGAGGGGGGGAGAAGGACTGACCAAGCCAGGAGAGTGGTGGAGAGAGAACTGTGAAAGACCTCCTCTGAACAAGGTCCCCCGTAGGAGCTGTACGCATACTCAGTGCAGAATGGAACCATTAAGGATGGAAGCTCCAGGGTCAGATTGTTTGGATTCAAACCCCATCTCCAACCCGCCTCTGTACTGGCTTCCTCTCCCGTAATCTGGAATTGAGCATCACAATCCAGTAAACTGAAAGGTTTCACTGAGTTCTAGGCCCAGCTACTAGTGCTTACTATACTGTATTCTTGCTCACCCTCAGGGTGGGCACCTGACATCAGCTCCTCAGTGTTCTTTCCCTTTGAGCTACTCCATAGTTACCTCCCTGGGTTTGTCAGTCCTTCCCAATGATTGCCCAAGGTGAAGTTCAGCTACCAGACCTCCAGGTGTGAGCTAGGATGGCTCCCTGGCCACCCTTATTGGCTGTCTTCTCTCCAGACATGCACTCTGGCCCCATCAAGAGGATCTAGGTGGTGTCTCCAGAACCCCTTCCCATTTGTGTCGGCCCTCCAAGTTTCTCCAACTCAAACCAGGACTATCCTTCCAAGCCAAAGTTCTAGCCACCCTGTGGCTGCCGCACTTGGCACGAATATTATAAATTGTTTCGTGGAGGCTTCATTTATATCTCCTAGAATCCCGAGGGCAGTACTGGGCAGACAGTAGGCACTAAATAAAAACGTGTTAATTGAATCGGGAAGAAAATGAAAGAATTTTAAAAATAGAAAATGATCATAAAACACAAGTGGTGCTTTAGACAACGGGGTTGGACTAATTCACTGTCTACAGATGTCATGCACCAACCATGTACTTAAGTCTATTTTCCCGCATCATGTAAATTGGCACAAACATCCCCGTGGCAAGGCACGACGACAAAGTATTAAGCATAAAATTAGTATTGGCTTACATTTCTCTGAAAGAGAGTGAGGTGATTTATATGGTTTAACCCCAACATGTACAAAAAGGTTGTTAAGAGGAAGTCTTCCCACCCTGCCTGCGAGACAAGCCGCAGTTATCTGAGTACTATGTACCCTTACAGAGATACAGGCTACTATGCATACGTGTGCCCAAGCCCACATCGTATCCGGGAAGTGGTACACGTCTACATTTGGAGGTGATTCCTACTACAATATACAATCACGATTTTAAAGGAGTATGGGGGAGGCGAACCCACCTTTAATCCCAGCACTCGGGAGGCAGAGGCAGGTGGATCTCTGAGTTTCAGGCTAGCCTGGTTTACAGAGGGAATTCCAGGACAGCCAGGGCTACACGGAGAAACCTGTCTCAAAACAAACAAACATACATGCAATTTAGAGAGAAGGCTGGAGAGATGACTTAGCAGGTAAGGACAAGTACTGCTCTTTTGGAGCACGGTGTTCAGTTCCTAGCTCCCATGTTAGGTGGCTCACAATCACTTGTAACTTCAGCTCCACAGTGGACCCAACACCTCCAGCATCTGCCTGTACCGTCACTTGTGTGTACACACCCAGCTCTCCCACATGCATACATACATACAATTAAAAATAAATCTTAAAAAAAAAATCTTGTAGACCTCGTAGATAGCAAGCCCTGACATAAAATGGTGTAAGACAAAATGATAAGCTGAGAGGAAGCAGTGGTTTGGGTGATCCACTGAGTAGTATTTTTTTTAAGGTTTATTTTTATACATGTGTGTATGTTTCTTTGTGTGGGCATGTGTGTACATGAGTACAATTGTCTTTGGAGTCTGAAAAAGACCCTGGATGCCCTAGAGCTTGAGTTGCAGGCCCAGTGTGAGTGCTGGGACCCAGCATGGCTCCTCTGCAGGCGCAGCCATGGTCTTCACTGCAGGCATCCCTCCAGCTCCATAGTGTTTTCTTAGGAGTTAGGGCAATCTGCTTTGGTATCTTGGTAACTATCCTTCGTATCTTACTCTATAAATTACCATTCACTGTAAGAATCAGACTAAAGGAGTCGCTTCATCCTACAAAGACAATGCTACCTAGGAGAGAGGGTGAAGATTAGCGCCAACAAACATGAAATCTCAGGGCTGAAGAGATGGCTCAGTGTACGTGAGCCCTTGGTGCTCTTGAGAAGACCCAGGTTCAATTCCCAGCACTCACAGGGTGGCTCACAACCACCTGTAATCATAATTCCAGGGGGGGCAACAGGTGAAATCACCTTTGTACCTGCAATCTTCACCTTTGCACTAGGTCCACACCGCCTCCCAAACGCACACACAAGTTCAGGAATGATAATTTTTGAGGATTAGTTCTTTTGGACTTCAAGGAAATGATGCTGGCAACAATGGTGTCCGCCTCATAGAAAGAGTGACTAGTGTGATAGTAATTCCCAATTCTTAGGGGTGCTTTTTAAGCAATTCATATTTCTTCTTATTGTTGGTGAAGGTGTGCCATGGTGCACGCGTGGAGCTTACAAGACAACTGTGTGGAGCCCCTTCTCTCCTTCCACCTTTGCTCAGGGGCCCGGAGACTGAACTCGGGTATCCAGACTTGCCTCATGGGAGGCAAGTGCCTTTACCCACAGGCCCCTAGCACCTAGAGACTCTGATCCAAAGGCAGACATGCCGTTTGATATCGAGTACTGGAGAAAAACATCTATTCACTCCACATGTATTAGAAGCCAGGTGTGGCATGCAGAAAGATAAGACGCATGCCTCTGCCCTCGAAGGGACTCAGCCTGTGAACAATAGAGGAAGATGTGGTTTTAGTTTGGTGAGGAAATCTACACAAGGGTATAACCCAAATGGATTGATAGCGTCTAGTTAATCATTATGAGAATCCTCTGTTTGAGTCTGGAAAGACAAATACAAGGCCACTAAATACTGAATGACAAGAAAAGCATTCCAGGCTCAGGGAAACCTACCACTTCTGCCTCCCTTCCTTCCCACAGACTGGTAAGGCAAGCGTGCGCGCACGCGCACACACACACACACACACACACACACACACAGCATAACATCTAATTGAAATGTAGCCCTGTGGGGAGGCTGGAGACACAGGGGGTGCCATTGTTAGAGGGCTCTGCAGAGCTGGAGTTGGCACTCACACCCTGCCGACTTCATGTCCAATGTTCTTTTTCAGTTCTCTCCTCGATTTGGAAGATAGCCAAGAACCCTCTTAGCTGGCACTGTACTTCATTGTGATCTGGCTCTCATACTATCCCTTAGAAGAAAAATATGCCATTTGTCATGGGCCAGTTTATTCTTTTGCAAGACTAATACTTCCAGCCCTTCAAGGATGTGGGCTGTGAAGCTGTACCTTACAGGGAAGCACCCTGAAAGGCCTCCAACCCCTTCGTGCCAGTGGCTGAGTGGGGGCACTCTCTCTATGACTCAGTCTCCTCTTCATCTGAAACCTGAATGTGTTTGAGTTCTCAAATAGCCTGAAAGTCTCTTTACCATAACTGTAAGCAGGAAGTCCTAAAAGAAAACCCTGTCTCCAATACCTTTAAATAAATTCCTTGTTATCAATTTGTAAGGAAAGAAAGAAGAAAGGATCTTGCTATGTAGCCAGGCTGCTTTTAAATTCCTAATGCTCCTGCCCCACCTTCCCAAGTACTGGATGAACAGACATGTACCACAGTGCCTGGCTTTGAATATGTGCACGTGTTGGGGGAAGGGGGCAGGTTCTTCAATTGCTCTTCATCTTATTTCTGAGGCAGGCCTCTCACTGGACCTAGAGCCTGCTGATTTGCCTCGACTAGCTGACCAGCAAGCCCTATGCGTCCTCCTGTCTCTCCAGCTCCCCAGTTCTGGAATTACCGGCACCTAACACCATGCCTGTCTTTTTCCCATGGGCACGGGGGGTTATCAGATCTTCATGTACAGGCAAACACTTCACTGACTGAGCCATCTCTCCAGGCCTCGGAATTCCTTTTAATGAAAATGCTCTTGGCTCTTTTACACAAGATTTTCTCAACAGAAACTAAATTGTTCAAAGTCAATCTGTTTAAGGTGCAAAAACGATAAAAGCATGGTTCTGTTCTTGGCTATGGAACGGTGGATAAAAAAAAATAGAATAGGAAAAAAACTTACCCGGCTTTTGAACTGTGTTATGAACACGGAAACCTGGTCCTGCTCAGCGGTGTCCTCCGGCTCCCAGCGCAGTGTCTGGCTCACAGCAGGCATTTAATTTTTAATCAACAAACATAATGCTTCTGTGAGCTAGGCACAGCTCGAAATGTTCGCCAAATATTAACTTACCTCAA